GGTCCACATAGCCTTCATCGACTTCTAGAAGGCGTTCGACACTGTGCCACACCAGAGGCTCATACATAAACTTAAAAAAATAGGGATCAGTGGCAACTTCCTTAAATGGATCGAAAACTTCCTTGTGGGTCGACACCAGGTTGTGTGCGTCGGTCGGGGAAAATTAGATCCGGCTATGGTCGATAGTGGTGTCCCCCAGGGTTCAGTACTGGGACCCATTCTGTTCCTTATCTACGTGGACGATGCCGCAAGAGATTCAGACTGTGAAGTAGCAATGTTTGCGGATGACATGAAGATATGGAGTGTAATTCGGGGTCCTGCCGATGAAGACAGACTGCAGATGAACCTGAGTCGGTTGGAGGAGTGGTCAAACCGTTGGCTCCTGCGGTTCAACGTTGCCAAATGTAGCATACTTCGCCTAGGCAACACAGCCAGATCCGCCAGCACAAGAGGCTACTTTCTGGGCGGTGCAGCCCTACAAGAGGTCGAAGCCCAAAAAGACCTCGGTGTGCTGACGACCAGCTCCCTAAAGGCATCCGCCCACTGTTCGAGAGTGGCAAAAAGCGCAATGTCCGTACTGTACTCCATCAAGCGTGCGTTCATGGACTTTGACGAAGATGCTTTCTCAAAGACATTCGGAACATTCGTCCGGCCGCATTTAGAGTACGGCATACAAGCTTGGAGGCCGTGGGCTATTGAGGATCAAAACTGCCTCGAAAGAGTCCAGAGGAGAGCCACGAAGATGGTTAGGGGTCAAAGCTCCTTTCCTTATACAACTCGCCCAGTAAATCTGAACCTCCTTCCTTTGAGTTACAGGCAACTTCGCGGGGATCTCTTGCAAGTCTTCCGCATTGTTAAGGGGTTGGATTGCAGTCTGGCCTTCGAGGACTTTTTGAATTTGCTACCACGACCAACCTCCGAGGTCACCCGTTAAAACTGCGCACTCACAAGGCACGGCTGGATGTGCGGAAGTTCTCCTTCTCGGTTCGGGTGGTCAAACCATGGAATGAGCTTCCCGTAGATGTTGTGATGTCACCATCTATACAAAGTTTTAAGAAGAATATGGACATATTAATGTTCCGAAATGACCAAGAGCGATGAGAAGTCGAGCTCACCCCCTGTAACTCGTTCTAATTTTGTCCTACAATTATTGGCGTGTTTGAACTATTTCAGCCCAGAACATCTATCTGTATACCGCACATTTTTTACGTTGCAAGTAGGGTACTCAAAGGCTTACGCCTATTTCCCTCAATAAGCTGAACTGAACTGAACAGATTTTGTCTCTTACGGCGTCGGGACTGCTCATCGGCGGAGCGTACGCGCTGATAATTGTGGCGAATTTGCCTCCACCCCCCCGCCGGAGAGGCAGACGGAGACTCATCAGGCGATTGTTAATGCCCTTCGGCAGACTGGGCATTCGTCCCACGATATCGTTCCGGATGGCGAAGGCGACAGCTGCGTCTCGTCGCTCTGGCGTGGGCCGACCACTCCAGAAGAAGGTGTAACCTGCACTCACCTCTTCCAGTTGGCCTTGTTCGGAGAATCGGGTCTCGCTTAGTGCGGCGATGTCCACCTTGTAGCGCGCCAGTTCCCGTGCCACTAGCGCCGTCCTTCGTTCCGGTCGGTTGCTCCTCGGATTTTCTAAAAGGGTACGAACATTACAGGCTGCCAGATTGAGCGGACTCACCCTGCCAGTCTGGTGACAACGAGTGGGGCGGCGGGAACGAGGTGGAGAAGTAGATGGCGAAGGAAAAGAATAGGCAGAAGAATAGGTAGAGGAAGAAAAAGAAGAGGTAGGATGAGGAGGTGAGCGAGTATTGTTGTTCTTGTTGCAGTTAATGTTGTTGCTTCGATTTTGATTGTTTCGACCATGTTTAGACGTCTGCGGCCCTGGCTAGCCAGAAGACGGCGTGGTGTCCAGCAGTGTTTAGGCCACCTTTTCTAGGCCCTTCCCCTCGTGGGGGCTGGCAGTGCCATCCCTGAATAGGGCTGCCATGTGCCGTTGTGGCACGGCCGAACTTCACTTTGGGGCCACGACTTCGGGTTGTAGTGGAGAGCGACTCGAATTCGCCGTAAGCCGCGGTCTCCGACGGCGTAGGTGGGCGCGTCAAGGCGATGTCGATGTGGAGATCCATCCCGTCACCGGCTGTCCAGCGGCGTGCAGAGACGAACC